AATACCTAGTTTCTAATTTAGTGTACCTTAATTTAAAATATAAACACATTACACTGGTTCAGGTCAGGTTTGATGAATTAAATAACCATAATAATGACGTGTTGCTCTGTTTTATTACTTACCTCGCGAGACATCACAGATTGAATGTACTACCTTTTGAAACTTGACGCAGCTTCAAAATCGCATGATGATGATACTGATGTTTTAGCGAATTTCCCATATAGGGAATAAGCTATTTAATTATTCATTGTTTATCAAAGATTAATTGAATTAAATAAAAAAGCCGAACTGTGACTCAAAGATAACACAGTATGTGTCACATATACAACTCCCTATACTCTACTATGGTCTTGTTCCACTAATTGCCTTTGCACGTACATTTCTACCCGCATCGCTGGAGGTTTGCAGTTTTATTGAATCATTTCTGTTCCTAGTTAGTCCTAATTAAGCGTCGATCCCAGCCTTCCTGTCAAACCTGGCCCTTGTCTTACATTTAATTAGTTGTTCTAATTAGGTTTGGTTTCGTCACTGAGCGACAGAGCGCAGTGCCCCCTTGCAGCAACCCTACATCGCGCTCTCGTGCCAATGTTGGCTAAACTGTCGGTATTGCAGTACGGTGTTTGGAAAACTACACATGCAGTAATTTCCTAATGAGTGTAAAGTGTACGAGGTTTTTGAAGGAATATTAAATTTATGGAAAGGTGTAGATGAAGTGAACCATTGTAAGAATTACTATAAGTGTAGTTTTAATTATCAATGTGTCAAGCAGATTTTGATGCTGGTAATTTAAAACGGAAAATATAAAATACAGATTAAATAGATACATAAACTTTTACATATTTACAGTAACCATGGTTAAATTATGTACCTCAAATACATCTTCCCAAATCACATTAAGATGGACAGGTTAATGTGACAGATTAATGTATTAAAACTCACCACTGGCTTATGTTTATACTAGTATTTAAAAATGTTTATATCTGTGTAAACAACTCCGAATACCAACACTTTTGTTTATTTCTTTTTTACATTTTACGTGTTTTTTTTTATATCTGAGTAACAATTTGAATTTAATGTGGTCAGGGATTCCGGGACACCCGGTACTTATAATTACACAATATTTTTTACCAGATCGTAAAAATATATAAGATGTAGCAAGTATTGTGTTCAAGTATTCCTACAAAACATCACGAGGCAAATCGGAGATTCCTCACATTTCACATTTAAGTGTAAATACATAGATCTACATCATACAGTAGTAGCATCAAGCTATAAGTTTTGTAAGATTGATATGTCATTTAGTTTATTTTGTTATTGTTGTATAAGTTTGGCTTAGACTTTTTGTCACTTTTCCCGACGTTTTTCAATGCTATGTAAAATATTTTGCATGACAACAAAGATATTGATTTTATCATATTTGCTGATCCATAATTTGCCGTTTATTCGGATAAATTAATAATACAAATGTTGCACTATTCATGTAATTGCAGACCAACAAGTTTTGATAAATACCCCCGCCGCAGCAAACCTGACGCCTAAGCGACTTTCCATTTGGCTGAATTGATTTTCAATTGATCTATTTAAATAACATTAGGTTTAACGAGTACCTAGGTTTGCTGCTACAAGGAAACTAATAAAGTGTGTGTTTTAAGTAAAATAATTATTGCTTAGTATAAAATGAATATATTTGCCAAGTTTGATCAAAAGATATCCATAAACAAGCAAACTACAACATTTTACAATATTCCCCATAAGAATAACATGGGAATTTTAAATTTACCATTTTTTTAGTTTTCTCCGTAATCAATAACCGTACAAAAACACTTTGATATACTGAATTGTTTGTTTTTTTAAGCTCTTTAAGAAGGTTTAGATAAAAATTGGGAAATTTTGTGTTTTGAGGGTCAAAAGTGAGAAAAACCAATTTTTACCCCATAAAACCCTGTTCCCATGGTCCGATCATGCTGGATCGCGAACTCATTCAAGTTTATCCCGCCTTACACCTTCAAACCAAATTTCATCAAAATCGGATAAAAATTACTCAAGTTATCGTGTTCACGGACACACACACACACATATATATATACATATATAAAAATTTGAACGAGTGGTGTTTTTGGCCTCTGGGGACATCAAAATGAAAAAGTAAATCGGTCCCGGGCCTAAGTCTTACCATGAGACCTACGGTAATAGCTACTTCCCTATAGGGAAATTCGCTAAAACAAACATAAACACTCAACTCTTTTAATAAATGTTGTTTGGATGCTGCAAATTCAATAGTGTTTATGTATTTTTTCGTATTCGTATAATACTTTATTTTATTAACTTTTCTAGCCAACATTTCAACCTTATTGTCACCTGCCTTTTTAATAACTCTTGGACATTTACGAATATTTACATAGAAGCACCGCCCCACGCATTCAGTTATCTCGAGATTCAGTTGGTCCATAAATCTCGCAAAGGAGGACCACTGGGCTGATTGAATCAGTTTCGATTTTATCCAAACCCCAATTTGGGCTCGCTGGACTGTGAGGTATCGGGGTATGCTAATGCGAAGGAAACTCTCCCACAATGTATTCTTGACTCGGGAATCCCTGGCCAATATCTCCCTATATATAGAGGCGTGGTGTCATCGAGAACATGCAGAAATCAGTTTTAACCAGGTTTATATTTGTGCTGTGTAACGGATATTGATCCGGAATCAATAATATTACAGAGAAATGTGTTTGGAAATGTAGACATTTTAGAGACGTAAAACTGTAGGAGAGCTTTTCGTGAGACCTAATAATAAATAAAGTTTTGAGTTTACTAATAATAAATAATAGTATGTTACGATTTTATTAGCATTATACGGTGCTGATAAAACACACCCTCCGACATTTATGTACAACACTCGATATAGCTAGAAATATATAGAATCAGAATAAGAGTTGTACTGCCGAAAAGAACTAAGTGCAGCATACAGGGCAAAAGTCACATATACAAAATATAAAAATATGTAAAAAACATTTCTATTCCGAAGTGGAAAAGGAATTAAAATAATATTACGTTGAACTAACTGTACGTATTAAATGCGCTTTAAAATAAGCATTAAGTGTGCATCTCAAGTAAACCGACTATGATCTGATTCCAATGCATCACCAAAGTAAAAATGTATACTTTGATTATGTATGATAAGTATCAAAATGTTACTCATAAATTTTCTTTCAATTATTTTTGCCAGCTATAAGAGCGATGTTCTATGTGTTTTAAATTATTGTCAATATAAAAAAATGCAATTAACATTCTATATTAAAAACTGAATTAAATGAATATCATTTGTGGAAATAAATTCAAAATGTGGATATTACTATAAACCCTTAAAATGCGACTAAGCTGAGGAGTTCAGCGTTTTCAGCTGTTTAAGATTCGCTCATGTTAAAGCCAGTCCGCACTAAGCGGAATATCTGGGATAGGATTGGAGGGAGATTTTAGATTTGAGATTTGGAGAAAGAGAGGATTTCGTTATTGATGTTCGTGCAAGATTTCTCCCCCCAAAGCAAGGACCTCATCCCGTCTCTTGAGAAAACATGGCGGCTCATGACGAGGAATATATTCCAGGATAGATTTGAGAAACGTTTTTAAATTATTCATGGTTTTTGTACACTTTGTGTAAGAAGAGACGATTTTTCCATTTTATTGTGCATTTACGATCGAATGTAACTAATTTCCAAAACAATGTTCTACTCATGTTCAAATTATTGTTTTGATGTAAATTCGCTAAATTTTTATCAAAGAAATAATTTCAGAAGTATAAATTTCCATTATAGGTTTATAAACGATTTATGAGTTTATTTAACGAAATTGTTGTACTGTATAAAAAAAACTCACACTGCAATAATACTCCTGCAGGTACCTAAAGTAACCAAAGTTTTTACGAAATATTTGGAAGTATATCGTTGGATAGAATGCATTGGTCAATTAAAATAAGGTAGTTTAAGTTATTCACTTTTAAATACTAAACTTAAGCTCTATATGGACTTTAAAGTTTATGAAATGATTCGTTGTGTTTTATAATAGTGATTGTTTCGATATCTTATACCACAAGTGGAAAGTGTTGAATTTTCTGTTTTATTTATTCCCAATACTTGAACATTACCTTAATTATTGATTTATTTTAAAGCTTATACAAACCAAACACTAAAAACGCTAAAAATTAATTAGTATTTTCACCGAACGCCTCGCTGCCCCTTTAAAACAGATCACTCAAGCGGAATTTCAACGTTTTTAATTAAAACGTTTTTCACCGTCTGAGGTGTAATCTTGCATTTCAAATCGCGAATTATCAAGTGAGCTTCTTGCTGAAAGGCTTCTCCAAGTTTTTGTTTGCGCATTTAGGTCCTAATTACAGAGGATTTGTCTAATCAGATTTCAGATTCCCTGTTTAAAATGCAACCGAGTCATTTCGCTTATGGTGTTTGCCCCGCTACGTGTCTAAGTTTATTCCAATCCACATAGTTTCTACGGTGTTTTATGCGGCGCGTGCACAAACTTGGCCATCGCACGTGCTGCCAGTTTTACATAGTTTCACAGCTAAGGTGATTTGTAATTTAAATCGTAATTCGCTATTGTGTTTGAGAGTAAGCGGTTTTCAAGAGGACACATTTTGTTGAACTGAATTTGGTATAAACTATTTGTGAACATTTTTGTTCCACAAAGTTCCGTCGATTTTCAGTTCAGTATTTCTAAGTTTAAGGTTTTTTTTGCCTAAAAAGTAGAGTTAGAGAACTAGGGAGTTTATATATTCAATATTTAACAAATATCCGTGACGTACCCCCTTTAATTTGAAATGGTAATTTAATTTTGTGAAACCTAAACTGTGAGACACTAAGATCAGCCCGTTTTTCCAGTTGGGATAATTGATCTTAAAACCCCGTTATCATTAGTAATTATTGTCATATAGAGAATGATCCATGATCTCGTGTATTTCTGTTGTATAATCTATCCCTCATCTGTTTCAGATATGGACATGACGATGACAGACTCGCCCCACCGCAGCTGGTACGACAGCACCACTCCCCGTGAGGGAGGTAGCGACTCCCAACTATCTGTAGCAGAACACATGAGCTCCCTGTTCGCACACCATCACGCCCAGGAGCCCAGCGGGTCCAGGGAGTACCCAGCCTACCGAGGGTCCGCGGCCAGGGAGGACGGCGACTCCCAACTGTCAGTGGCGGAACACATATCCTCCCTGTTCGCTCACCATCACGCCGCCTCCTTGGAACCCGCGGCCACCAGGGAGTACCCAGGGTACAGAGCGGCGGCGGTCACCATGACCAGCAGATACTACCATGGACAGCTGCATGGGCACGCCTCCTCGTACGCGGCGCAGCATGGTTAGTACACTGATGATAGGAGCTGGTGGCAGAATAAGTAATACTGTGTATACTATAGTAGATGCCCCACAACAAAGATAATTTTAATGACGTGTAAGTGATTATTGCGGTAAATTCTGTCACAATTAGTAAAAAAAAAATACAAAGTTCCAGGATCTTAAATCTGATTTTCACAAAATGTTGTCTTTATTTGATATCGTCTTCACAGTAGAAAGTACTGAAGTACGTAAACATGAATTGTCAATGCGAATTCCACTTAACCTGATTGTTTCAACATTTATCAGAAACCAGATGTCTAGTGACAATGATAAATTAATCCCAATCTCAATAACACTCACAATATGTTAAACACTCTTAAAAAATTTCGAGATGAATCTTTATAGTATACAAATTGTATTCCTTTTTTTGTCACTGGCCTTTATAGTTTAACTGTTACAAATATTCATACTGTAATTTAGTTTAAAGTAATATGTAAGCTATGCATAGAATAAATAACGTAGAGTATAATATACTGTAGTCGTGTCTACTACACTGATACATTACTTCTAATATATTCTGTGATATTATGTTCGCAATTTCTTTGCATCATATCTGTACATTAAAATTATCTCTCAAAGTTTGTATATAGAAATATCTATAAAAAATACTGCTCTATTGAACATGAAATACATTTAGAATCTCGTTTCAATTGGAGCAACATTAATGATATGAGTTGTTCTCGTACTACTGTATGTTCATCATCCCGCCAAATATTCATATAACCGACTGTAGCCAGCGATGTCAGCGCGCTCTGGCAATTAGACACTCTGCAATTACTACGCCGGTCTTGAGTAATTTATCGTTACAAAACCTCCCTTATTTGAATATTCACCACACTACAGCGGCTGCGGATGAGTTGTGTATCCTAATGTTGATTCATTACAAGTTTTTAGCTCCATTTCCGACTCATTAGTCATCTTTTTCATCGACTCGCTCTGTTTTATACGGTCACTTAAAAAATATAAACTGTTTCTACTCCAGAAGCTGTTGGGTTCAATACTGCACTGCCGTGTAAAAAAATCAAAAAATCATATCATAGTCTCAAGTAGTTGAACAAGCGAAAATAATGGCCGAATTATCGAATGCATCGCAGGAAGTCATCCCCCAGAAGACCGAGATTCGACAGCCTTCCTTTGAATCATTATTGTCCTTTTTACATGGAGACGAAATATAATCCTCGATAAACGAATCCGGGTCACTAATCGATACTCGCAAATAAACTGACATTCATCCGGGATAAATTTACTATGGAATAAATTCATTTGTGTTTGAAGTAACGCAAAAACCTAGAAACACTCTTGGAAGACTGGGTTGAATTTTCGTGCCGAACGTGCAAAGGAACTCCAAATATGTTTTGACAGGTCGAGCATTGGACTTGTCTTGATCGCGAGAACAAAGAGCGCGGTTGCTGCATAAACACAGTCGGGGTGGATACGTCGGTGGCGTGTCGACCGCACATCTACCCCCACCCCTAGATAATCCAGCACAGATATGGTAATACTCTATCTAACCCACGATCTAACACGCGCTGCCGACAAGGTTCAATATCGCTCGCTCCTCCGCACTCCCGCGTACATCGGTCAACCTTATTGTCGATTAATTGTAGAGCTTTCGTGTTGCGGAGCGCTTTCATTTTCGGATTAATAATTGATCCGCCGTGTCGCGATGGTGACTGTCCAATGTCCACAGTTCTCACGTCACGGTCGCCGTGTTGCTGTGTTCGTGCTCATGTCGATCTGCTGCGGATAACACCGGAAGCGGCGTTTCCCACGTCGTGACCACAATGCGAGCTCAAACGCTCAAATTACGGACTTATGCGTGCGGAATCGTAAATTATCATCGCGAATTATGTTGTTATATGCAGCGATCCGAAGGTCCACATTAATAGAAACCTGATTTGCCGCAGTTCGTAATTCGCGCGGTTCGCTCACGGGGGGCGGCGTCAGTCGGAGAAATGGCGGCCGCGGACGTGTGAATGTACTTCGGGCAGACACTCGATTAGGAGTGATTTACAGAATATTATTTCATTTTTGTGGTAAAATTTCTATTTTCTTAAATATTCTGTATAGCATATCGTTATAAACCTCTAAATAATCATCCAGGATTATGTCCCAACTATTAATTTTTGTTTGTAACTTTATCCAAACAATCGGGGTTTTTAAACATACTGAGCGAGGTCAATGCCATTTTACCGCACTTTAGTGTTGGTAAGTAATTGATTGATTAACATTTTACGTGTATATCACCGATTACGCATGATGATGCCGATTGCCAGATGACAGGACGTCGTTAATATACCGTCGTAAAATCTTTCAAATACTTATTTACCGTGTTTGAGAAGTAGAAGGCGTATTTTATCATATTCATACGAAGATATAAAACATACATGATAGAAATAATATTGTAAATTGGTCCAAGTCCAAAGATTTGCTAACAACTTATTTGTAAAATCCAAATACGCATGTGGCAGTACGAAACTTTACTTCAAATGTCATACAAGTATTCTCCGAAACAAGATGACCAAAACCAGTCCAGAGGTGTAAAAAATAAACATGGCGGAAGGTGTCAGGCCATCATATCTGTCCCCATCTTCTTCACCGAGGGTCAGTGTCAGTTCACCAAAAAGTCGACAGTCTGATGTCAATTATTCGGTGAAATTCGACACCAGCGCCCGCGGCTGGCGTGGGAACTCGTCCCAAGAATGTCTACAAGTCTATAGACTACAAGTCCGGAGCTTGTGGCAGGGTAGCACCCGCAATAGATATGGGTTTCCCTGTATTAATCCCTTACCCGCGACGCACTTTCTGTTTCTAATCCTAGAAGACGGGTGTCTTTCACTTTGCATATTCGGATCGTACCGGATGGAAAAGTTGAACGTTTCTATAAAATTACCACTGTCTTGTGGTGAAATTTTGTTATGGAGACTTGTTGCAGTTTTTTTACTTTGGTGCTGATTTTGCTGACCTAGTGTGTAGTGCAGAACTTAGGTCTTGGAGATCCTGGTTCTAAACCCGACAAAAAAGTACAATAGACAAGGAGAATTGTTTCTGTGTTAAAAATCTCTCTACAATAACCAACGTATTATTACTCATTCCTTGTCAAATTGATAGTTGTAATTCACATAGATGAAAAAAATATTATTTTTGACACAGACAATTGTGAAGCTAAGTCTGTATACTTACTTCTAAACTTAAGGGGTTTCTACGCAATATGAATGCAAGTTAAAACTTGGACACAATGAACAGATAGAGATGATTGTATTTTGTACTTTAGAATAACAAGATTTAAAATCGTTGTATTATCCCTTCCAAACCCTATTTCGGATCCCTGAAGCTTCCACCTGTTTACTTCAGACGGCTACATAACCGCATGCGAGTCGACGATCGAAACATCGTTTTTCGATTTTCACGATGCGCGAATCAGGTAATGAAGTGGGTCCCGAGTCCGGTGTGAGGCTATACGGCAGGGGCGGGTCCCCGTGATAGGACTGGCTCATAGGATCAACCGGGAATTAATAACCTGCGTCGATTACTGGACATAAATTACAAAAAAATTAACGACTCCGTTCTAATAAGTTCCACGAGCGACGGCTAAGGTCAAAGGTAGGACGGAGTGAGGATAGAACATGGTAGGGTCGTATACGTGACGTCAATCAATAATAAGCTCAAGTACTGGCTTGGTATGTACCAAGTACCTAGGTAGAGTGGGTATGAGCTGTCTTGGAATGTACCATGTACCTAGGTAGAGTGGGTATGATCTGTCTTGATATGCACCAAGGTGAGCATAGGGATGATATGGTGTGTTAAACACCATACTAATAGATTTCAGATAGGTGATTGATTTTAAAATAAAAAAAATAATTTAAGACAATTTAAACGTATACCAGTTGCAGTAAATCTACGTGAAATAAAATTAAAATAATAAAAATTCCAAAATGTTTTTAAATATCCGTCTTAAAATATAGCAATTTATCTAATAATGTATTGCAAGATACACACATATATAGCACATATATGTAGGTTTACCGTTATGCTAATAAATACAATAAACTGTTCAGGAAACAGTAGGATGAAACCATGCATTGTTTAAGGTCAAAATAAATAAATTTTACGTTAAGTAGTCTGAACTGAAACAAACAAATAAAATTCGAAGGCAGACAAGAGGAATCGGTGTGAAGCAATAAAGTTGGTATCAATTGGGCTCCAATCGCACGGCACCGACCACACAGCACACGGCTGGCCGCCCGCCAAACTATAAATGAAATAATGAATTACAAATTGTCCAACGTGTTTTTCAGCTCTCAGCTCCCGTTTAATATTCAAATATGATAAGTAATGCAGTATATCCATACCCTGCGCTTTCTTGTCTCTATTTTGGGGCAGCAAAAACGTTGCCTATGTTTGTTTGCGTTGGGATTTCGTTATGCATCTTTTTAATATTTATTAAAAAAATATACAGTTTTATTCGTTGTACTTGTAAGTTACTGGGACAGTGAATATTTAGATCGGTTATCGACGAATTTATACTGTATATTTAGTAATGCAGATGTTAGTTTACGGAGGGTTAACTATATGTAGTCTTGAGATGAATATAAACATTTCTACAGATGATTATGATATCTTAAAGTTATGGTAATACGGAAATATTTTAAAGACAACCCAAAATAATACAATAAATAACAATATTACAAACGGGTGTTATAAACTAAATTTTTAAAATTCGAAAATTGGTGTCTAGTTTTGGGGATTCGCTTTATGTAAAGGCTTTTATGCACAATGTTTACATTGTTTTTATCTACGCTTGAAAATGCTTTAGTTTCTCTTGCACCTATTTCTGATCTTCAAATGTATAGGCCTACTTAACCCAGATGCAATTTGGTTACGGGTTGACAGAAGTAACACAACCAGGGTTTGGACATTTTCCTTACAAAAAAGTTGCAAAAAGGCATCGCTCTTTGCCTAGAACCTAAAGAAATAAATGTATAATGAAGTAATTTATTTTTAAAATCCAAAATATAAAGTTTACAATTACAATCTTGCCACAATGCTGTACTCCACAGTTCGGGACATCGAGTTTGAAAAATAAAAGAGCAGAAGAGAGCATCGGTGTTCGGCGCGAACGAGCCAGCTCGACCGCAGCGCCCCTAGCGTCGAACCGTTTAATCTCTACTGTGCTCTGTAATCGGAAGGCTAATAAAATTATCAAGATTAAGGTAGTAATATAATGTGGGTAATGATACACAGCGTGGTATACTTCCCCACAGGTGGCTGTAGGAATTCGGCACCACTATAGTCTGTCCCCAGGTTCTAGGCCCAGGGGGAAAAATAATGTAGTACATGTTATATGTAAACGGTTCCATAGTGAAAATAGCTTACGCGATTCACTAGTGAGAACTTTATTACAAAATTTGAAATTTGATTTGATAGTGTAATTGTTAAACTCCGTTAGCTGTCCGCAGCTCCTTTGAATGCAAGTCGAGGCAGGCTAGGAATGTTAGGATAATAATTTAATTTGTATGATTTCGTTTTGAATTCGTTTTATATTTAATATCCTAAATATAGACTATCGAATGAAATAACTATTTTTGCTGGACCAAGTTGCATTTCAAGTAGATAAAGCCGATTTTGACTGGCGTAGTTTAATTCTTTATTCAAAATAGCTTTTTTTTAAACAGATTTGAGAGCTTATGATGAGCTAAGAATTATTATATCTTGTGACACTTTAAAATAAGTTAGAAAATGTTTATCAATTTAATTTCTTGAATCAATATTGTTTGCATACTCCTCTCTAATGCTGCATTAGATATTTTTGAATAAAATAGGCCTACAATTTGTTTTTTATAAAACCTGTAACACAAATTAAATGTGATCTGTTGTTTGCAAGGAACACATAAATTGTTTGTGTTAAGCAAAATCAAGTTAATACATTTTGAGATACATTACTCTATTTTTATTGATTTTATTATAAAACTAGTTAGAAATTAAACGAATATGGTGTTCTAGATACGGACTCCAGGACTTCTCCATCAAGTAAGTCAAAATCAAATTTAATTTAGTATAACGTTGAGTTTGAAATGCTGATGCACCTTAAAAAGTAGTTAGAGTAATATGATTAAATTCATTTAGACATTTTTGACACGTAATATTGTTTGGGGTACTGTTAAAGGAGAAGGTAAATCTTAGGTATTTATTGTACTCTTAAAGTAGTAGAACTCGAAATATTTTATCAATATCCTTACTCTATCTTTTATGAGCATGTAAAATACTTCTTCTTCTTATCTTAAAAAATATCTCGCACGTAACATGCATTCGCCTTCCTCATAATTGCACTTAAATTTATTACCTTAAATCTAAATTTAAAAATTTACCAGGAAATAGAATCACATAAACAATAATCAATCTCGATCAGCTTAACGCTGAATGTAACTAGTGCAAAGTAACTTCATTCATACGTTTATTACTTACAATCTGAAAGAAAACACTCCAAAACACCTTACGTTTGGATGACAAATAACAGTATGCAAGAGGTTGGCCTCTGCACCACCAGAAGTTTTAGATATCGTGTACACATTTTACAGGTTTCTCTTCAAAGTAAACATAAATCTATAGTTCTCTCAAGAAATCGTTTGTAATCACCAACCCTAACGTGGCATGTACTCACAAATATTAGTAACTTTCACTATACACACACCTACCAATACGTTGGAAGTTTTAGTATGCACCCTCTATCATACGATTTTCCTTTGTAAGTAAGCACAATTTTACTATAGACATACCCCTGGCTTCATTAAAGTGCAATATTGTAGCGTGTACTCTATGTACAATTTTAATCCCAAGTTAGCACAACTCCACTATAGTCGTACCGCCACCACATACCCCTAAGTACGAGTTGTATCTTGTACCCAATGTCCAACCTTAGTCCCAAGTTAGCACAACTCCACTATAGTCGTACCGCCACCACATAGCCCTAAGTACGAGTTGTATCTTGTACCCTATGTCCAACCTAGACCCAAGTTAGCACAACTCTACTATAGTTGTAACACTATCACATAGCCCTAAGTACGAGTTGTAGCTTTGTACCCTATGTCCAACCTATACCCAAGTTAGCACAACTCCACTATAGTCGTACCGCCACCACACAGCCCGAAGTGCGAGTTGTAGCTCGTACTCTGTCAAAACTTAGTCCCAAGTTAGCACAACTCCACTATAGTCGTACCTCCACCTCATAGCCCTAAGTGCGAGTTGTATCTTGTACCCTATGTCCAACCTAGACCCAAGTTAGCACAACTCCACTATAGTCGTACCGCCACCACATAGCCCGAAGTGCGAGTTGTAGCTTGTACCCCATGTCCAACCTAGACCCAAGTTAGCTCAACTCCACTATAGTCGTACCGCCACCACATAGCCCGAAGTGCGAGTTGTAGCTTGTACCCCATGTCCAACCTAGACCCAAGTTAGCTCAACTCCACTATAGTCGTACCTCCACCTCATAGCCCTAAGTACGAGCTGTAGCTTGTAGCATACCCTATGTCAAACATAGACCCAAGTTAGCACAACTCCACTATAGTCATACCGCCAACACATAGCCCTAAGTACGAATTGTATGTAGCTTGTACTCTGTCAAAACTTAGTCCCAAGTTAGCACAACTCCACTATAGTCGTACCGCCACCACATAGCCCGAAGTGCGAGTTGTAGCTTGTACCCCATGTCCAACCTAGACCCAAGTTAGCTCAACTCCACTATAGTCGTACCGCCACCACATAGCCCGAAGTGCGAGTTGTAGCTTGTACCCCATGTCCAACCTAGACCCAAGTTAGCTCAACTCCACTATACCGCCAACACATAGCCCTAAGTACGAATTGTATGTAGCTTGTACTCTGTCAAAACTTAGACCCAAGTGAGCACAACTCCACTATAGTCGTACCGCCACCACATAGCCCGAAGTGCGAGTTGTAGCTTGTACCTAGGGGAGGGACGGATCATCCAAGCGTCTATAACCATTTTCCCAAAACACCGAGGCCGATGATTCCCTCTCAATATGGGCTTCCACTCTCGGATTAGCATACCGTTTCGACCCAGACTATAATTTTCCCGCACCGTTTATTTCTAATTGTAGCTAAGCCAAATGATACGTTCATGCGCAGTGCTCCGTCCGCTCCCCACTACACGAATTATTTTAAATATATTCACTCCTCCGTATAATATGTAGTTTTACAATACTCCAAAGCCGAGATGGCCTTTAAATGGCGGTTCCGAACCGATTATAGAAGATCCGTACTCATTAGAGGCATTATAACTGATCGAGTTATACGTTTCGAGGTGTAATGTTCGGGGAACACCGTCGGTAGTCGACTCTGTTTAATAATAAGGTAGATTTTTAGCCAGTGTGATGAAATATTAGCCTAGGCGTAGATTAAAGCTGTATTTTGACTGAATGGGATGATGGGTGGTCAACTGCTTGAAATAGTTTTGAAATCGGTGCATTTAGACCAAAACCAAAACATGAAGAGTAAAAAGTTCTCTCAGACTCCCACTGTTCAATATAGTCCACGTATCGTTTGGCAAAAAGCTACCATTATGATCTTCGGTTTGTAGACAGGGGAGTAGAAAAAGTCAGAAAATTGGTTATTTGAAATGTTTTGAAACCATGTGGTTTAGCTTAATGAACCTTATGGACAAAAATACTGGACATTGAATATCAAACCAGTATGGTCCTTGTCCCAATACAACTACCAAGTAGTTAGTTATGAAGGTTTGTGAATAAAAACATTTGTCAACAAAATTTAGTGGCAAACATACATTTCATGAATAAAAAATAATTTTTTAATACATCCCAAATGTTTAAAATTAAATACTTTTCATCCAAGTTAAAAAAGTGCAGCGACTCCCACATGGCCACATGACAACCTCTCCACCACATACGATCCCAGCACGTCACATAACTCTCGGCGTCCCATTCCTCATTGGACGATGAAACCCACCTTGTCAGGACGCGCCGCATAACGCAATCCATAAACAGTCGCAAGCGAGTGTAATAAACAGCGCGGGACAAATGGTATTTTTGAAAATTCCAAGATGGTGTTTTTCCTCGGCGGCGCCGCGACACAGAAGTATCGGGTGACGAACGCGTGCGGGGTCCGGGAGCCGCGCAACAGTATCATTGCACAAAAAATACTTACCTTTCATTATACCTGATACACCGTGGGAGCGTGGATGGATACACTTCTGCTCATCCGTGCGTTCAAGTCTCCGGCCGTCCGTGGCGCGGTGACGGTGAAGGCACGATAATGGTGTTTGTACGATTATTTGTGGGTTTGTGTGAGAAATGTGATCAGGTAATTCGCATATTTACGGTTAAATTTTGTTGAGATAGATAAAGTAATAATTTGCAAAGACTGAAGTCAGGTTTGTGAAATCGCAATCGGGGGTTTTGTTGGATATGGAATATTCAAAATAGTGTACATCAAAACCAGGTATTAAAAGATAAAAGATTAAAATGTATCTAAATCCCTCACAGGTTTTTTTTCAGTTTAATCATTGTGTGTTTTAAGGTATTTAAATTTATGATTTGGTCTTGTATTTTAGTAGTATATCTAGTATACTGTCTGCAAAACGCCTGAAGATATGTCAAACAAATTTAAGTACGCATCTTTTAAACATATAAACCAAACAAATACAAATGTGACAGATCGTGCTGACCAAAAATCGCTCACAATGTGTAAAAATTAGAAATTCTTTGAATTTACTGCTTTTCCAAAGAAATGCTCTTAAAACACGATCCCATTAGAGCCACACTTTTTGTTGTGGTATTTGTTTTCGTAAAGTATTAAGTTTAATTGCTCACCTGTATTACTGTCAGCATAAATTAGGATAATATATTAAATTATAACGGTTTTTGTGGGGAAGCAAGAGAGAGTGTACACCTGCCCCAGCACGCGCCAGCAGGTGAAAATATCAACAGCCAGCACGTCTCGCCTTACGCCTTGACCTTAGAAATTTGAGGGGGCATAATTCAGTTGTTCAAGGTTAGATTCCTGCCCCGACATTAAACCGCGAACGGTTTTGGGACTCTTAATTGGCGAGCGTATCAATAAAACCCGCTGTCCTGGCGTTTTATTATCGGCAACATCGGGTACTGCTGTTTTTGGAAATTCTCGACCACCTGAATAGAATTTTGAATACTTTACAATCCCTGCAGTTGTCGATCACGTAAATATACAGTCCTTGAGTACATAACGGCGTGGATGTTTGATCGCATCACCCGAAGGTCGAACTGTACAAAGACCGAGCCTTTCCAATCATGATCCCACTGTGGCATTAACATAGCGAGAAATGCACTGTTAGATCACGCGGGACCTTTGTTACCGCGACACATGTCTGGTCTGATGGATTTATAAATGCTGAATGATCACTTCTCTCAAGCCTCACCTAGCTGCTGTATGTTCCTTGTACACTTGGCAATACTGTGGGTGTAATGTTAATTTATCGAGAAATGCACTGTATAGTCTTGGCAATAATCCACCCTTCTTCTTGGTATCTTGTCACCATGACACTTACATATCAATAATGCACAAACAGCAGCTCAAGCTAAGCAAAGATTCCATACAGAAAACTATTGGATTTTAAGTCATAAAATAAATATACTGTACATACATTTTCTTAAGTATTTAAATTTAATTTTCAACAAATTTGTGTTTACATTTACCTGAAAAAAAGAATCGTGAATCACATCAGCTACAAACAAGAATTATGATTTCTTTTTAGGCGCACTCATGCTAAAACATCTCTATGCTTGATTTGTAATCAATTTGGTTGATGGCTTGAAATCAAATGTTTTTTGTCATTATTATCTACATCTCTAACGCTTTGCTACTTGGAAATTTTAAGTTAAAATACAATATTGTGAATTAAAACTTGTGTCCTTGCTAGAACTTCTTTTATAATATTCCAGGCAATTTAATATTATAATTCCCTGACGTTCACCAGTGCGCCGCCTATTTTTTAAACAGTTATATAAAAGCAATAAATT